TTGACTTACAATTTGAAACGTCTTATATGCAATTATTGATAAATGTATACTCAGTATTCATTTTAAATATCGATTATCGATTTGTAAGCAAATTAAAACATGTGAACCGATTTGTCTCATTTTTTTTAGTGTGTCGATTTGCCCATCTTACAATCATTTCTTGAGAAAAAAAACTTTTTATTTCAAACATAGTCGAGTGATGTTTTGTTCTGAGTATATTATAAATATGTTGTCTTTTTTGAATAAAAATATACGCAACCGTATTGTTTTAGTGTAAATAGTTGTTAAAAGAACTGTTGTATTCTTCTTTAAACTCCGATTTTTATAAGTACAACTAGCGATTTTTTTTCGAACAACTTGTTATAGTATTGATAATATAATTGTTTGATGAATCTGACCTTTGTGTTACATCTATATGAGAAAATATGAGTAAAAGACGTATCATTCAAGGCATCTTAATGTCTAGATCTGAATTTGAATCTTATTTTCTGTAAAAGTGGCTGCATTAATTAAAAATCACCGATCAAGGGTCCAATATTACCTAAATGAACTGCAAAAAACCTTCGACTGAAAGGCACAAATTTGAAATCTATAGCAAACAATGTCTAACTGAATGTCATCTTTTACTCACGAGAACTAGATCGAGTAGAGCTCATCTTTTTAATGAAATAATTCACTCACTGTTGCTTATCTATGTTACACTTAACAATAGATATGTCTAATGCTTGATGATGAGAAAAAAATATAAAATTGTCGTTTTTCAATTCTGATCACATAACATAAGGTGACCTGGAATACAGGAAGGAAAACAATTTTGATAGAAATATTACCAATTTATGACTCATAAACTGCTTTCAATTTTTGACTGATTGAGCCCTGTTATATGAGTAAAAATCAAACAAAAAGTGGAAAAATGTACTCGTACTCTTGCCTGACTTTTCGAGAAACTGACTTTGAAGAAATTAACTTCTGTTCTCAATCTATTCAGAATTTCTTTTTTATTCTCAGATGACAAAAAATTGTTCAATATTTGCTATGTACGATGGTTGGTCTCATAATAATAATTTTCTTACACATCTCATTTGTTGTTGTGTTTTTTTTTTGTTCTCTATTATTTTTTGTTCTCTAACACCGCTTCTTCTTTTTTATGCTTATAGCAACATTATACATTAAAAGAATCAAGATCGGTTCTAAAGTTCCGTTTTATATAAGAAAAAAATTATTTTTCTCTTAGTATATTGCTTCGGAGATGTAAATCAACATATAAGGTATAGTTAATTTACTATCATCTTCAATCGTTCTTTTTTTTTCTCGCTCGCTTTGTTTTTTAAGAACGTAATTATAATTCATCAAAGTTGACTTCCGTTTTGAACGAGATGACAATCATCAGAGATATAGGTAGGTGAGACATGTCATTTTTATACTTTGTCTAAATGGAATAGAAGAAGAAATAGAAAGTATAATAAAGCACGAGGAAGTGGTGAGCTGTATACAGCTTGAATATACATGTATATTCAAATAATAGTGCAAGTTTTCCTTTCTTTCTTTTTTATATTTTTTTAATAATACAAGATTAAATACCGAAGAGAGAACAAAATTCTGCTAATGACAGACACAACAATCTATTCGATTTTCAAAAAAAGAAAAAAAGAAGGAAAAGAAAGAAAAAATAAAAAAAAAGGAAAAATAGTGTGAAAAATTGTTTTGAAGATCGTCTTTTGTTTCATTATTATTACCTAAAACACATAGGTATCTTTTTACATACAACAAGTAAGAGACGTGGTTGTGTCTATGTATGCTCTACATTTTTTTTTAAACTACAACTATTGCTTTTCTTATAATAAAAAAAAAGGTAATTGATATGAGAAAAAAATAAAATCGATCAAATAGGTTAAATGATATTAACACTATAGAACTGCACTATATAAAATGACAAAACTTAATAGGATTTGTTTGTTACACATGTATGAACTTTCGGGTTCAAAAAATAAGTTTCCGTGACTTCTTTTTTTTTTAAGTAAAGCTGTTGCCGATAAGTACATTTATTTTATTTTTTTGTATTACTGTATAGTTGAGAAATAATGTGTCCGTTCGATAAAAATTGATTGCCAACAACAATGAAAAGAACAGAGACAATCATACAATGCAATCGGAATTAAACAGAAATACTCCATACACTGTCATATTTCATCTGACATATTGTATTCTTGAAACTAAATCACTTTTAACACCGGATGTAAGTATTTCTCATTAGTTTATATATTATTTGGAAACAAAAGCAAGTTTCTTTGATTGTAAAAAACAACGAGAATTTAATCATTATATTGTTATTTGTAGATTTCATTACACTTTTTATTTTTCTATTATTCTATACGATGAATAAAATTATTGTTGCGATAGTTAGTAGTAGCAGTAACAGAGCATTTTTTTTTTCTTCTTCTTTGAACCTTTAATTCAATTTTGTTTAATACCCCTCCTTACTCCACCTCGATACTGATTCTCTAGATGGATAAGCGTAATTTTTTTGTGGGAAAAGAGCTTGTCAAACAGATTAACCCGAAAAACTTAAGCGTACGATAACAGCAAAAGAAAAGGAGAGAGAGAGAGAGAGAGAGAGGAGTTGTGCCTAAAGCTCTGTTTCGAATTAGTAACATATAGAAGAAGAAAACATCAGAGAGAGACGAACATCTAAAATTGTGTTGTGATCATCAAGATGAATAAGAAAAAGAAATGAAGAATAAACGATGAAGAAAATCCTTTCTTCTTAAAAATCTATTAACAGATTTGTATTTGAGAAAAAAAAAAGAAGAAAAGAAATCTGTGCTATTCTCTCTATTCCCTTTCTTTCATTTGAGCTTGGTATATATAGTGTCTATAATAAAATATAAAATTCTGTTAATTATGATGTAAAATAGTTATAATAGATATTTGAAGAATGAATACATGCAGTAACAGCAACAAACAGATAGTGACAGCTACTATACAGACAGACATCAGAAAAAAAATAACAAAATAAGGAAAAGAAATAACATATTTTCTTCTTGTTATTTTTTTTTTTTTTTTACTTTAAAATGCTGAATTCACATATAATGATTTTCTCCTAGTGATATAATAGAAGAACTAATAATACTACTGTTGCCGAAATAACGAAAAAGTTTTATTAAAAAGCATTCAGTGAGTAGTAGTACTTATTAATGTTTCAAAAGCACGTGTTAAGAACAATAGTCCAATAGCCATGAAATACGCACGTGTGCTACTAGAATAAAAGAAACATTTCTTATAGAGCTCAATGGCGATCACTATAGCCGTAGATTACTTACTAGAGTGTAACTTGCGAAGAAATAGAAAAGAATGAACATAAGATCTTTGGTTAGATCAACAGCAATAACAATTTGCAGTTCAAATCCGAATTATTCGTACAAAATTGTAAAAAATTTGTTTTTGTTGAATTTTTCTATAGTTTAAGTTATCGTAATTGTATAGTCAGAGAATAAAGCTAAGATCAATTCAAGTAGATCATTACGGCACAAGTTTCTCATCTGATCTCGCTAAGTATTTACGTCTTCAGTTTATAAAACATAAATTCAGTTTATAACTGAACTATCGTATCAAATATTAAGATATGATTGATCAAGATTAAAAATCTTTATATGCAATGATATCCACTTTCTCGTTGGAAAACATATTAGACAATGAATAAATTTTTAGAAATCAGACATTGTACAGTACAATATGTTTACCCATCTAACATGTTAATAAATGGTTATAATATTAATTTAATAATACGACTATGTTAATGATCGAACTGGTCAATCAAATATTTTTTTCTTTTTTCTTCAAAAAATGACCTTTCTGTGGGAATTATCTGTATATATATCTTCTTTTTTTTTATTAGAATAAAGAAGAATAGGCGACAAAAAAAAACAGAAGTATTTTTTGCCACGCAGTCTGAACGAAGAACATGCTATGCCATGAAATAGAAGTAGGTTTTTAACAAGAGAAAAAGAAGAAGAATATATTCTCTATCTGAAATAGCATTTTACTTTGAATACTGTTCATAGAACTCTGACGAATTCATATAAATAATGGTAGTAATAATGATAATAGACATGCAGAAACTAGAGCGCTGGAAAGGAAAAACTAAAGAAGAAGAAGGAGAAGTGAACGAATAATTTTAAATGTAAGAAAGAGAAAAATAATTTTTTGTTTTTCCCGGCTGTTTCTTGCTTGGCTATGTTACTCACACACTGATAATGACAACAAGAAATAATAATAGCCATAATAATAATGATTTTTACGATTATGAGAGATGGAACAGCACTTTACTCTTGATTTTGAATCACATTTCCTTGAATTATTATTATAAAGAGAGAGAGAGAGAGAAAGGGACCCATACACACGCACACAAACTTTCTCATTTTTTTCATCTATTACAGGAACTACTTCGGTTATAATGATGATAACACAACAACAACCACGACAGAATCAAAATCACCATCACCACCACCACCATCACTACTACAACTACTACTACTACCACCACCAGCATCAGTTACAAAACCTTTTTTAATAATGATATTTTTGTTGTTTTGTTCTTCATAGTCCTATCTCTATAGTCGCTCGTTGTCTCATCACCAGGACAAGAGAACAAGCAAAAGAAGAAGAAAAAGAAGAAGAAAAAATCATTTTCACTTGACATTCATTATATTCGATATAAGATATATAGAGTCTGAATAAATACACACGTACACACAGACAAAGATCTAATATCATCCGTATATATACGATAGTTCGAAATCTTGTTTATTACCTATTTAACATCTTCTATTATCGTGTCCGATCGTTAATTCAATGAATATATATCGACATTTATTTACCGGCGATCTAAAATATTAGATTAATTTTATCATTATCACGCACACGAACATCATCCTTTATTTCTATTTTAGTTTATTTTTTTATTCTATTCGAATATCTGTGTGTTATTCAATTAATTTTCTATGGGCTGTAGTCAATCGACACGTATTGAGCCCGAAGCTTTAACACCAGAAGATTCAAGAACAATAAGAGAAACATGGAAATTACTGGGCAAAGAAGCATACGGAGAGTTTGGAACAAGACTTATGTTAAGGTAAATATGTAAATTTATTTATCAAGAAACAAAATAGATAATATATTACATCATGTAAAATTCTTATAATTTCTGTCTCTATTCACTCAAATGATAATTTGCTAATCATTTTGCAAGAGTTAATTCATGACATATGTAATGACATTTTTTTAAAAAATATTCTCTTCTTGCTCTCAATACCATTCTCTAGAGCGTAGTGATCTATGTCAATGATTTTTTTCATGTCAATTCAGCTTTTCTCGTCTATACTCGGTTTTTTGGCCATTTGAGGAACCTTTCTCATCTATACTCGCTCGGATTTTGATCGTTTGAGAAGCCTTATTCCATTCCAAAAATATATTCTCCGATCGAGATTTATGTTTTGTCCTATTTTCTTAACAAATTCTTTCTCTCCCTCTCTCTTTCTCACTCTTCTTCTCTCTCCTTTTTTATTGCCTCCCATCGGAGTTGATTTCCTCCAATAGACTGTCTACACATGTATACGGAGTGATAGAAAAAGAAGTAATAGGAAAATATATAAATAAATTTTTTCAATAGTAATATTTCTAATCAGGTTCACATTCAATGGTTCAGGCAAAAGCACGTCACATAGATAATAAAACGTAATAAACAACTATCATAAAGATTAGAATAGAACAGCAGAGTAAAAATAGAGAGATAGAGAACTCGAATAGTAAGTGATACTTAACTATTCTTTCGTAATACCAATTACGACAAAAGAGGTTCAAATATTATTTTCAACCACATGTTTCTAGATTGAATCGTTGTATTTGTTTGATAGTGATTCTATTCTTGAATAGTATAATATATTAAATGCGAGAAGAAAAATATTATTTTTTAAATGAATTCAATTTTTTTCTTCTTTTTAAAAAATATGAACATATTATTATTAACAATTAAAAAAATATTGACCAAAAGAAAAATTCACTGTCTGATATCCCTAAAGATTTGTTTGTATAAAGAACAATAAAAATATGTTATTTTTTCATAAGTAAGTAGTAGCCTGACTTTCATATGCCAGAGTTTTGAACATTCAGACCCGTAATTGATGAGATTTCTTTTTTTTTTCCAATCGATAATAAATGAGTAATTATTTTTATTGTGAAATAAAATCATATTCTTATTTGCCAAAATAATAATAAATAGAAAAAAAAACTTTAAAAAAAACATGAAAATAAGTATTTTTAAAACCATAAGATTTTTGTACACACACACACACACACACATTTATGTCATATTGTTTAATGTCAATATTAGTAAATATTGAATTTTCTATTTAAAAAATTAATTAATTAATTTTTTCGAAAATTTGTTTCATAACTACAAACAAGAATCATTTATATTCTAATTTTCTAAATAAAAAAGAAACCTAATAAATTGATTATAGTAGTAATCGTTGTTCACCATCAAATAGAGTTTTTTTTACTCCAAGTAAACTATTATTCTAATGATCACGACAATGTGTCATCTTGTTTTGAAGCATAAAACTTTAGATATATGTGTGTGTGTGTGTGTGTGTGTGTGTAAGTAACAATAAAACAAACAGGTTGTATTATTCTAGACTAGAAGAAAAATTATTGTTTATTTAAGAAACAGAATCGAGAATGTGTTGTATTCTAACTGCTGTGCAATTATGTATTTTCTACAAATATGTTTTCACTTTTTATTTCTTCATCACTAATCATTCTAATGATCCCCATTTATTGTTGGATTGTTTTTTCTTCTTTTCGTCATCGTCTATATAAACACTTAAAATACTCTATATAATCGACAACAATCCACTATCATGTATTTGTATTGCACTTGTCATTAGCATTTTTCAAATAAAACTAATTGCCATTGCATATCTCATGTAATATATTGGTATTTCCTATACATATTTTTCAAGGAATCATAAAAAAAGAAGAGAAGAGAAAGCCTTAATCGAAAATAGGCATATGACTCTTCTTTCTTTTTTTTTTCTTCTTTTTTTTACAGAAAAGCACAAGAATTTTTTTTTTTCTTCTTCTTCTTTTGTTTTTTCTTCTCAAAGTAGAGCAAGTTAGTCATTTTTCGATTATATTTCATCTATGAAGAAGTGCCTAAGAGATAATTCTGATTTTAATAGAAGCTAATATAAAAATATTCAAAGATTAATTTCGTATTATTCAAAATAGATCGTCGGCCTTTACGAGTATATGATAGTCAAAAAAAAACAAAACAAAAATGGAAAAAGAAGAGAAAAAGTGTACGCTCTTCTAAATATCAATCAAATAGACAAATTAAATTCAAGACTTTCACTTTTCTTTCTCTCGAGACGCATAGTTGACATTTTTTAAAAGGCAATTATTCTTCATTTTGAAATAAATAAATAAATAGCAATAGAAAAAAGATAAAAATTCTTAAACTTTTAGAATTTGAATTTAATTATTATTGTTTGTTATTCATTCCTTTAGATTGTGTATATTGTGACGTTCTATTTGTTAGTAAATGAATCTTGACATTTAGAGAATAAAAAAAAGTCACCTTTAAAGGTTACTTGATTTAACTGTTTCCATAATTCCACTTATTTTCAGACATAATATAATATTCAATCATTTATTTAAGAAAATTTTTCTTTTTTCACGTATATAAATATTTGTATAGTATCAAATTTCTTTTTTTTTATAGGATATTTCAAAAACATCCTGATATTAAAGCTTTATGGCAAACACCTCGGGCTATGAATAATGCACCAACAACCGTAAATAATGACAATGATGATGGTCAACCAAAATCAGAAAATCGTTGGAAAATGGATTTAAGAAATCATGGTAGTAAATTTTTTATATCAATTGAAGAATTAATTACACATATAGATAATCCAGAAGATTTATTTCGACATTTGGAACAAATTGGTGCTAGACACAAAACATATGGTGTTAAAACCGAACATATTCAAGTGAGTTGGATATTTAGGAAAGAAGAGAAAAAAAAAAAAAAAAGAAAGTTTCATCTAGAATATCAGCATGAGATTTTTTTTCCTTTTTGTTATCACTTGAAAAAACTATTAAAAGTCTTAATTTAATGAAATTTTTATTCATAGTCATTAGTTGTGTAGATCTGTTTTAGAATGAATTCTGATGAAAAGAAAAAAAAAAAAAAAAAGGATTTTCTAAACGAAAGTTTTCATACTCAGAGATAATAAATTGATAAACTTTCATATTTGTACATTTTGTTTATTTTTCTCTTTTTTTTCTCTAGGCAGTTGTAGAAGGATTTAATCATACGATGGAATTTGGATTAAAAGATAAATGGACCGACAATCGTCAAAAAGCATTTGGTCGTCTAATAAATATAATAGTTGCACGAATAAATAGAGCGATCGACGGTAAAACTGATGATAAATAACCATTAAAATATACATTATTCCGTTATTTTTAATAAAAATCCGTCCGTTCTCTGCGCATAATTTTAATATTTTTGAAAAGATTATCGTAAAACATTTTAAAATAGACGTTATATTCACATTTATCAATAATGATATCGACCAAATTTTACAAACGGTAAGGTAAGAACAAATTAATATTCAAAAAAAAAAAAAAAATATATATATCAACCGGTGAAAACTGTATACCCTCTTTCTACTCTTATCTTTCGTATAACAACTATTAAAATCCCGCTGGCGGGTATGGACAGACACTTCAAATTGAAAGTGAATAAACTTTTCTTGTTTATTTGTGCAATTCCTCAAAAACAAAAAACATTCACGTTTTATTCTAGTGCCTTTTTGGTATATTATTCTCATTTTCTCTGTTTTGTTTTCTTTTTTAAAACATATTATGCATTTCATTGTCGTTCTGTCTCTGTTTCTTAATTATTTACAACATTGTCGAAGTAAAAAAAAAAAAAAAAAAAAAAATTTTAAATATGAATTATCTAAACATCTATCTAAGCGTAAACGATCTTATTCTAAAATAATATTTTAAATTAGCAATTTATAAATAACGTGTGTACGTATAGTGACAACCGCAATAAAAGACAGTAAAATCTATAAATTATAAACAATACAATGAGAAGTCTGTTTCCGAAATATTCTTCGAACATTTAATATTATAATTCTGTAATTCTGATCGTGGTGAATAAAACACTTTTAAGAATTAAATTTATGAACTGATTTTCTAAAGAGTTGTTGTTTATTTAACACATATTCGATCAAACAACTATTATTTAAAACAAATGGATTATTTTTTTGAATATTCACAATGTGTAATGTAACAAATAAACAAACAAACAAAATTTAATTAAAAAAACAAAAATCCATTAGAAGATAAAATATTTACATGAATACTATACAATTATTACATACATTATGATCAACAACGATCATACAGTAAGAAGAAAATAAAAAAAGAAAAAAGAAATGAAATTCGTTTGATTATTTACCATAAATAGGCTAATAAATCTCTTCTCTTCTTTTCTTTCAACAAGAAAAAAAAACAAAAATCCAGTTATCGTTGATCATTCTAAAATAAACAAACAGACAAATATTACACATACATACACACACACAAGATAGAATGAATTTCTAAGATGAATTATGAGAATAATATGAAGATTTCAGAATGGAAAGCTCTTGACTGAAAAAGACCATATGTAGACAAAACGATCAACGTTACATAGTATTCATAAAAAATTCACTGTTCATGATTTACATCATCAAGTTAATTTTTTTGTTTTAGTTTACATTAAAAAATACTTCATCCAACAAAGAGTAATCAACGAATTTCAACTCATAAATTATTTTTTAGTTTTGTTTTTATTTTCAAAGAAAAGTATGGTATAAACAACTTTCGCACTGTACTGTTCTTTTTGACTCTAAATCCAGATAATCCCCTGTATACTCAAAGATAATTTCAAGATATATTAATACTCTAATCAAGAAGGAGAATATATGGAAAATTTTTATCACAGATGTTTTTTTTGTTAACGATAAGAGTGGTACATGAAAAAAAACATATTATTATTCGTAAATGAGACCACATTAATTGATGTCGATCTTCTTTTTTTTTTTTGCAAATTTTTTTTCTAAGATAGGTCTTATTTTAGTCAAGATCTTAGTGTCCCTGAAATATTCTGATAGTATCCACATATTAACTGCACATATGGTTCACTTTTAGTAGAATACTAAACAATACCCTGGGTGATGAGATATAAATAATTAATGACCAATAAAACGAAGAAAAAATACAATGGTGATACTTTGTGTAACATACAATTAATAGTACAATATTTTACTTCATACAACAGAAACAGCTACGGTAAATCATGTATAAAAAATAATAAATAGAGCAACAAAATGGTTTGTCAATCACATATTTATTGTTGTAAACAATACAAACAGTTTTATAATGGAAAAGAATGTTCACTATTAAGAAGAGAACATGAAAAATGATAAAATAATTATGGACGATAATAAATGGAAAAAGTAACAAATGTGAAAAAAAATGATTTTAAACAATTATTTTATAAATTAATAGCTAGTTTATATCTACAAACAATCGTCTATTATATCAGTATTCCAATGAGTTTACGAAACAAAAAGAAAATTGATAGCATACAAAACAGAAATCGAATATTTATTTTTTCAATGCATGATCATACCATCTATTCTAGTAGATCAAATAAAACTCTTAATCATCAAAATTATATGTATGAGAAACTATATACGCTTTGGAATTTAAACATTATTTATTGTGTATGAGTACAAATAGCACTGCAATTTATTTTATCATTGTAATCTGCTACAAACCTAAGTTCGAGCCTGTTTATTATTCCTCTTGTCTTCTGACATGAATTAGAATTGATATAAGTAAAGAAACTATTTTTCAACAAAAGATTGATATATCAAGTTCGCTTCGTAACCAAAAATTGGAATTTTTATCGTTAATTAATGATATATGTATGTAAGATAAAAAAAAAAAACGTTAGTGATACAAGTCAGATACCAGTATCACACACTAAACTTTTCATTTTAATTAGCTTATAGCAATAAAAACAGAAGTGCAGAACTGCGGATATCTATAAAATCATACTGTGAACTACTTACTTCTTTTAATATTAACAACATTGAATGTTTTTTTTGTATCACGATGAAATGTTGGCGTTTGATTTTCTTTATTAGAATTCTATAAGATGAAAACAGATTTTTGCCATCAATGTTGTATAAGATCCTCTTCTGCCTACTTTATTTGCAATTGGTTCATTTGGACTAACATTCGATAAAAACATTTGAAATCGTTCTCTCCATGGACTATGATTAGTACTATCTTTTATATTATTTTTAATTGTTAACATGCGATCATTCGACTAAATAAAAAATTTTATTCATTATATTCTTGGAACAAAAGTGAAATCTAATGCTACATTAACCTGTGCTGTTGATATATGTTGTTCGTTTTTTCTTCTAGGAGTATGCAGCTCAATTCCAGGAACTGAAATAGTCAAATTACACACGTTTATTTAAAAGCCTGATCATGTAAAAGTTGTACAAAAGCTAAAAATAGCGGACGTATCTGCTATTCTTGGTCAAGCAAACGATCACGTCATAAACAAATAACTTACACGCTTGTATTTTTGTGGAACTATTTTGTAAATAACATCGAATACCACTAAATTTGTCAATAGACGAAATATTTCTTACTGAACTACGACGTTGTAATGCAGTACCACTACTGCTATGTTCACTTGATCTAAATATAGATGTGAAATGGCTAAAACAAATAAATGTCATTTTTTGTTTTACACACCTATCTGAGATCGATTTATTATCAAAATCGTGTATTTTATTATTTGACAAAGATGGTTGGACATTTGAACGACGATCAATGTTTGCTTTTGGAACACGTAGTGATTTTGTACGACGAAAATTGTTTGATGATTGTTCTACTATTGAACAATGAACTGGCGTCAACAATCTTTTTTCTGAGCGTTTTACAATTGATTGTAAATTACTAGAAGTAAACAGAATATCAAATAAGCTACGTCATTTGTTTTATACGAAGGCAGAATGCTTTCACTATTTTTTATTTAATATTTATGTTTGCCTCTATTTTCAAAAAATTTGTTTACTATTTCAATAGTTTTCTTACTTAGTAATATGTGTACATTCATCTTTCGTTGAAAGACCTGTTGCTATTTGTTTTTCAGTATTCCGTGGTAGACAATGCGGCACAACACTAAATACACAAAAGAGAATAACAAAAGAATTTTTCCAAAGTCCTATGAAGTAATTTACGGTTTTGGCTCTTTTGTTTTATGAATCACAGTTGAACATGTTGTAGGTTTCAGTGATTGTCTTGAAGATTGCTTTAACCTGGCGATTAACGGAGGCTCTGCCACAGGGATTGCACGTAATGTTGAAGTCAATAACGTTTTACTGAAAACAGATGGTGAGAGGAAGAATACGTTAAGATTTTAAATGAAAAAAGACGTACGGTTTTGTAATTGGTGGATATTTTGGAAGTGGTAGTAAAACTGACTGACGACTGAAACTCATCTAAGAAAAAAACAAAATTACCACACTAATACTAAACAAAAATGGGCAAACTGCTCAGTCAGAAAGTAGCACAGTAGGAATAAATGAAGCGACCAAAAGACATGGCGGTAGTCAACATTACTTCTGCAAGAGTAGAGAGAAAAATCAAAACGCATTTGGTCGATGTCCCCCGTCAAATTTCAAAAACACCGATAAAACATTTTGTTGTTTTAACTTACTCTTGTCTCTTATGTATACGAATGATTTAAGATTTATAATTTATATAAGAATGATTTAATGATTTATCAGCTATACAGAGAGCGATACAGAATCTACCTATAGATGCAAGTGGAGCTCGGGGAAAAAAATTATTTTCAAGAAGGTTTTAAAATATGAATCTACACAGAGGAATTCTTCATTCTATAGCGTGGTGTCAACGTGTGTATAACCAACCAGGGGCGCAAATAACGGGAGGGTGTGCACCCCCCGAACAATTGAAAAAGCTGTTGTTATTTTATCCATTATCCCTCGCACAAAAACTTTTTTTATCAATTTTACACTATTTCAAAAACATGAGTAAACCGCTATTTGACTGCCATACATGTGCCTTTCATTGTTAAAATAGCGTTTTACAGAACTTTTTCTTAATTAATATTCCGTGTCGCGTTTCTTGCTGTGCTATCATTTATCAGAACCTCGACGCTTAGATAACCGGTTCCTTTCGGTTTAGTTGGAGGGATTACATTTGCTCTTTAGATCAAATATATTCCATGACTCGAGAAATTATACAACAAGCACCGCTCAGAACATGTCAAGCAATTGAATTAGGCATCACTGTCCGAAGATTTTTTCTCTTTTAAACTTGCACTCAAAATGCTAGGTTTATGAAATATTTTCCTAAAACTACGCGATTTATAAAGCCGAATATAGCATCCATCCTTTCCGACTCTTTCAATAGAGCTGTCCACTTTTCTGTTCACCGCCTTGCCTATTAAAAAGCAGTGAATAAGAAATCGATCGGTCTGGAAAAAACTTTACCTTTATATTTTTTTCTAAACTCACGCACTTCTCAAAAAGCCCTGAATCCGCCACTGTACTCTATACTTCCCAGATAATAAGCAACACATTACATTCTGAATACAACTTATACAACAATGTAAACACGACATGTAAAAATATCTTTGTTTTGGTTGGTCATATTTACAAAGCTCACTTTCTATTTATCCATTCCGGTGCATTATTTTTTTCGCCGTTTATTCCAACACAGTAATTGAACGAGTGTGATGGATTTAAATTTATTTATTTCAACTGTTGTCTTATAAATAAGAGCTAATGATTTAACCATGAAAGTATATATATTGAAACACATTGGCGCCACAGTCACTCTGATATTATTGACAAGCATAATTCAATATTGATTGGTTTTCCTCTATCTCCGAATCAAATTTTTATCCATCGTTTAAATATAATAATTATAATGCAAGATTAGTTTGCTTATTGTAATCCTGTTCTTCTTGACAGAATACAGTATTTCTGCATTTTTTGATAGAGTTTTTTATTAATTTCTTAAGAATGAAGAGTGAAACAACTAACTAATTTTTTGAATTTTCATTCTAGATTCTCTTTCATGTCCCAAGAAGACGTCCAAAGCAACGGCTCAAAAGTGGGAACCGTGTTTGATCCTTTTCTCATTCTCTTACTGTTGTTATGTATTTTAGTCGCCATTGGCTGCTACTACTGATACTTCATCAGTCGACGAAAGTACAGCCAAAACAGATGATCCAACCAAACAAGAAGTGAGTATCGTATGATTTCTATATGGCTAATATATTTATTCTCTTTAATGTTTTTGCAGAATGATGCAGCTGAAGTCATTGTCTTGGATCCTGAAGCAACGGTACTATGCGGTACGGAAGTCAACTCAATCCTAATCTGTGTATTTGTTTTAGATTGTTGAATTAACAGCCTTACGTATAGGAATTATGGAAGGGTTTGAGGAATTACGAAAAGCAGAGGTAACCGAAACAGAATAACAAGTGATACGAAATCTACTAAATTATAACGCTTGTATTCGATAATTATATTATAAAATTCTAAATAATGAACATTTATAAACTTAATCATCATAAACTTTGAGAAATAGACCAACATTTCTGTCTTTCTACTACCATCCATCTAGAGAAGCGTTTCTAATAAAATAATTTTACTAAATGTACATGTACACTCAATTTTTTCAATCAATATGTACGTGTGCACTTCCTTGTTTTCACAAAGTGTAGGACGATTAAAACGTTTTAGTAAAGAAACTTTCGATGTAGTTATTGACAAGTTCTTGTTATCTATGCTTATCTGAACGACAGAACAGTGAGAACATTGATTCTCTATTTCTTCGCTCTTGAAATCTTGAAGTTCATAATTATTCCCTATTTTATTTTTCTTACTCCTTCTCACAGTAGATATCTGTATCAGATCAAAGCATACCTTATGAACGAGTGAATCACAAGGAATTTTTTGAAATTCGTCAAACGCCGCTTTTTCGGTCTGTTTTTCCTTGGCTTATGCCGTGATGAACAAAAAAGAATCATCAGTCAACAAATATCATTTTCTCTAAATTGACTAAAATCTTTTTGTACAGTGTACGGTTCACACTTTGTTTTTCAATAAAATGTGTTTCAAATTTTCAAAGTGTACGTACACTTTGTTATTAGAAGCTTTGATGTAGGTACATTAGTGGTAAGGTCGGTGAGTAAATGCTTATGTAGAAAATAGAAGAGTGCAAAGTCAGGATGAAATCTACTATAACGTATAATTTTTACTCTATTACATTTAGGTTTTAAATTTACGTCAAAACTTGATAAAAAAGATTGAAAATATTTCTCATCTGACATTATTGCAAAAATTAGACTTATGTGACAATCAAATAGCGAAGATCGAAAATTTAGAATCGCTAATTAATCTTGAGTAAGTATTAGTATTTTTTTTTTTGTTCTGATTGTTTAAAAAGAAGTTCAAAGTTCAAGTTTTTAGTGTGATTTTAGGCGTCTCGATTTCTCATTTAATCGTCTTACAATGATCGAAAATTTATCAACATTAACGAATTTGACAGAATTGTATTTAGTTCATAACAGAATATCGAAAATAGATAATATACAATTACTAACCAAACTCAGGATCTTGGAACTTGGCGATAATCTCATTTCAGTAAGACTAAAACTGTGAAATGAAGATATTATATGTTGCTGTAAATGTTTAGTGCATTTTTAGAAAATTGAAAATTTAGATATATTAACAGATCTTGAAGAACTTCATTTTGGAAAAAATAAAATAAAGAAAATTGAAAATTTATCATCATTAAAAAAATTAAAAATATTGGGTTTAAGTGCGAATAAAATTCAAAAAATAGAAGGTTTAGAACAACTAACATTATTAGAACAATTATTTTTGTCAGAAAATCAAATAACAACAATTGAAAATTTAGAAAATAACGTAAGTAGCTATTTATTATTCGATTTTTTTCGTAACAACTTTCCTTTTATGATATTTACTCATTACGTACATACTATTTTGTTCTAGATAAAATTATCTTTGCTTGATTTGGGTCAAAACAAAGTTGAACATTTGGATAATCTGATACATCTTACGGATCTGAATGAATTATGGGTACTTCGTTTGTCTATACTATACATTGCTATTTATATAATTACATGTATCTGTTACTTTAGATCAACGATAATAAACTGAATTCAATGGATGAATTAACAAAAATAGAATCAATGTTACAATTGAAATGTATATATTTAGAACATAATCCTGCATTCAGGTTCGAAGAAAATTATCGTGCCAAAGTTCTTCTCAAATTACCACAGTTAAGACAATTGAATGCAACCGAAACACGACAATGTGTTCATAACCAATTAGATACTGAAGTACACCAATAAATTGTGTATATGTACTCTCTTTTCTTATTTCTTTCAAAGATATAACCTTGACGACTTGAAAATTTAATTAATTCATTTTTTTTTAATATTTTATATGTATTTTATCTGATTATATGTCCGTTTTGTCCTATTTTGAATGAGTATAAAACCTGTGATGATATAATAACTACATTAAGAATGTAATTTGCTTCGCAATAATGTATAACCTGTGTTGAATTCATTCAGTATTTAGTATGTCCTTAACAAGATACACACCAGAAATGCACGGAAGTCCCATATTTTAGACCTCGTTTCGTTACTCTGGATATTATCCTCGATCCATCCAGGTCGAACAATATAATTTTGTAACTTTGGATGTTTGTTGGGTGTCATTATTTATTGTGTATAATCTTTCAACTATATATTTCATTTTCATGAATAATATTAATATTTCTCTTATTAGATGTCATTCATTTACCAGATATCAAATTTTAGTAGAATTCATCTACATCTTGTCATTGCATTCATATGCCGTTTAATATTAATATTATATGGCATTTGGCATGACAAAAATTCTAGTTTGCCTCCTTTCACTGATATCGATTATTATGTGTTTAATGACGCAGCAAACTATGTATCGAAGGTAAGAATAAAAGAAACACTATCTAACATGATATTTTAACTAGAAAAGAAGTTGTTTGACTAGATCTAACATTTTCTGATGACTATAATCAGAAATGTATTCGACGTTGTACATCTTCATCATTTTAACATTTAATTACGATTCTTGTTTTTGTTTCAGGGTCAATCTCCCTATAATCGTCATACATATCGTTATACACCTCTATTATCGTATCTTTTGTTACCAAACGTATATTTACATGAACTATTTGGAAAAGTTTTATTTGCATTCTGTGATGTATTTGTTGGATATTTAATATACAAAATATTGAATACACGATCTAATCAGCAAGAACAAGTACGACAAGGGAATTATTCATATGCCTTATATTGGTTATATAATCCTGTTTCGTCCGTTATATCTTGTCGAGGGAACTCGGAATCATTAATTACAGTATTTGTACTATTAGCCGTTTTCTCACTGGTATATCAGAAACAATATCCTTTAACGTATTCGTGGACACCATGTTTGGCTGGTTCCTTTCTCGGATTTTGCACACATTTAAAATTATATCCACTCATCTATTCATTATGTTTTTATTTAAATATTGATAAAAGACCAGTGATTATTGATCAGAATACATCGATTCTATCAAGAATTTGGCATGAATTTCGTCCAACTAAAAAACGTTTTCAAATGATTTTGGGTTTTCTAATTACATTACTCACATTTACTGGATTATTTTACTATTTGTACGTTCTAAAATGGATAAAGAATGAATTTATCCTTTTATTTTGCTGTTTTGAATCAATTATAAAAATATTGATAATATTTTTCTATACTTTAGATATGGTTGGGTATTTATCTATGATACTTATTTATATCATGTTGTTCGTCGAGATATTAGACATAATTTTTCACCCTATTTCTATGTTTACTATTTAACGTCCAATTCACCATCAAACACTTTATTAAGTATTTTGTCGTTTTTACTACAGGTATAAAAATCTAATTGAAAATATTCTTCATTTTTAGAATATTTTTTTGTTTAGTTGATTAATACCGTTGTTTTATCTGTTAAATTACATCAAAATATTGAATTATGTCTGTTTGTATTAACAATGTCTTTTGTCACATTTAATAAAGTTTGTACATCACAGGTAAACTAGAGCTATTAGATATTGAACCTCTTTTGTTAAATATCAACATTAATATTTTTTTAGTATTTTCTATGGTATCTTGTTTATATTCCATTGTTGATGCCATCACTGCAAATGAAGAAACGATGGTTGGCTGGATTATTCATTCTTTGGATATTACCACAAGTAAAGATGATTCATTTTTTTTTACACGTTTTAGTTGTCATATCATCAATTATATTTTTAGTGTCTATGGTTATATTTTGCCTATCAATTAGAATTTAAAGGGATCAATACGTTTATAAAAATATGGTCATCGTCTCTATTATTTTTTTCTATTAACATTTTGATTATGTGTATAATTATTTGGAAAACAAAACGATTTAATGAATTAAATGTTGATGTGAATGATGGAAAAAAACCGTTATTTGAAAAGAAAAATGATTAATCTATCGTATGTACATATAAAAATTTGTCAGATATAGATTATAATCAAAATGATTAAAGTACATACTTTAGATTCTCAGCTACTATTGTATTGTTCTAAATCGATCTTAAAATAGTCTTTGTTTTTTGTCTGATTTTTAACTCTTTTTCTGATGTGTTGTAAATTATCCGATGGTGCTTACTGTAAATTGTAGACAGAAAATGAAACTTTTAATCGACGCGATTATGTTTTGTACATTTTTTTTACATACATTCCAATAGAAGATAAATTTGTACTTATTTTTACTTAAAAAATAAAATTTAGCGTGCACACTTATTTTTGTATCTTTGCTTTCACATAACTAACTTAATAATAAGTTGTTTCTAAAAGAACATTCAATATAGAAAATATTGAATAAATATCATTTATAGGAGAGTTGAATCTTTGATTTTAGTCAAGATTGGTGATGTATAAAGATGTATTTGTTTATATTATCAATTTTAAATTTGCCTATTAGAAGTTAGACAGAAAAATTCAGGTAGATATTATCTTATGTTCATTCTTCAATAAATCGTAGTTTTAGCGTTTACTTTCAAGGACAACGTTATCCAAAGAACCGGCTAGTTTGACAATGAATAACGAATAGGCTAGAAATAATTGATCACAGATAAATCTATTAATTCACTGTAAGACTAACGTATTATAACAAAGTTTGAAATTTGACATCTTTTGGCGAATATAATTCGTCGTTTTGAACTGAAAGTCTGATACAAATCTTCAATTGTCACCTATTTCGAATTCATTCTGGCTCTTGTATCAGGAATAAAATGTCATAAGTTAGAGTGAAACCAAGTTGATAGAGCATCAAAATTTGACATCTTTTGATTGTAAAATAACTTATTAATCGTAAATTCGAAATAGTACAAGAAAAGGAATTCAAATTCTATTAAAGCAGTTGCTAAAATGAGAGTTTTCGACATCATTTCCGTGATTCTGATTCGATTGTTGTATAACTGTCATTCAATCAACCAACACAAAAGTTACAATTCAAATCCTACCGTGATTCTATTTTATGAGTCTTTAAGTATCCATTGATAATTCATCATGCCGTGGTATATAATTTCATGTGATCAATTATTGTTTAGTTATAGTGGATTCAGTATATTCAAACTAAAATAAAACGTTAGAGTTCAAATATTTTGAATGCTCTAACGTTGTTTACTATTAATATATACGCGATCGGTGTTTACATGACGTATCATCTAAAATCAAGAAAATCAAAACTAGATATTGTCTCATTTTGAAAACTGAAGTTTAATCCATATTTCGTCCGATTAACTGTTTTTTATCAATTACAGCTCAATCAATGCAGCTGTTTAAAATTACACAAAAATCTTTATGATTGATTCGCTATCAATATGATCAGTTTTCTTTATGTTCTATATTCGATGTTAATTACTTTCCACGAATTGTGCAATTTTCAGATAAATTAAGAAAAGTCTTCTGATTTGTTTTTATCTCCCGTACAGACTGTGAAATCTTGTACAGTTAGACAGTTTTTATCATGAAAATTTGTACTTCAACGCCTTTTAACCTATTTGATTGACATTTTATTTAACGATGCTTGATAGTTGTAAGAAAGTTATGACATTTTTTCTTGCTAATGCCTGAAGCGTAATAACGAATAATCATCGGTGTGTCAATACAAATTCCATCATATTTGTTTTGATATAAAACAAGCATAAAACTGTACATACTTATACACAATAGATGATTTATGAATTACGTTCAAATATTTAACAGACTCGATTTCTCTTCTTCTAAAACTAGACATTAATTTTTTTTAACAATTCTCACATCGTTTTTGAATTGTTTTGACATGTTTTGTCATTCTTTCAAAACAAGATCGTACTCTCAACGGTTTTCTAATTGACTAACTGATAAATTATGACAAATCTGTAGAATAATCTGATTTAAAAGCTTGTTAGGGCAATGACTTCTGATTCAAAAACATGATTAATACTTCAGCTGTTTTGATTTTCATCATATCCTTTATTTTCTCTGGATATTTCGACCTTAACCGGTCATTTTCAACATCCGTAACTACTATATAAAAGAAAATGGATAATATTTTCTTTTTTTTAAATACAGTGACTCACATACGTTCAGATAGGAGAAAATATATTTACCATTGAAAAACTAGAATTATACCTTTCTCTCTCGTTATATGCGCATATAAAAAAACTTCATACCATAAAATCTTTTATAGTACAATGGTTCACACGGCTTCAATGCAAATGTATTTTGGTAATTACCTCATTTTTCAACTCCCGTTTACAAAAATAACATCTCAACTCTCTCCATGAACAAGTAATCGCTTACAAAACGATTTAGAGTATTTTTCACATCTAATTCCTCATTAGCTATCAAGTCTAAATCAAAATAAACAATATAATCTGGAATAAATTGTAATGAATATTCAATTATTACCAAACGCTCTAATGATATTTTGATCATTTTCATTAAACAACTACGCAAAATTGCTAAGAGTGTTGTTCTTTCATGTTTTATTATTAATATTTTTATAAATTTTAACTATGGGTTACACTATTTACTTTGACATTATTTTTTTATTTAATAAAAAGAGAAAAAGAACAATGTACAAGTAATTCAGACGGACTCAAGCATAGTTATCATCTATACATACAAAGTGCTTTCCAAAAGAAATCAAACGATCTTTTATAATATTTTATAAAACATTTATATTTCATCATTAGGATGATTGTGATTATATTCTTTTGTTGTCTAAAAATTCAAAAAAATTCATATTCTCAAGTAAAAACAAGAATAAAGCAAAGAAATGACAAAGAAATAAAATTATTTGAATCTTAGGCAAAAATTGAGGTTATATGTAGGCATGCATCAATTCTTTTTTTGAAAATTATTGAAAATAAAAAACGAGTTCCAGAGAACCACACTATTGAATTCCACACATTTGTCGAATGTGTAAGATTGTTTAAATCAATTTTTTTTACAATGAATTCACAAAATGAGATACAATGAAATTTGTATTCTAATTTGATAAAGCAAAAAACAGGAATAATATTTACCAATTATAATTTTATTTTTAATGTTAAATTTAAGCCTGTCCCAAATAGCTTATTCTGTCGAAAAAAGTCTTGACTACAATCTAAACATCATAGAGAATAATTGGTAGTAAATGATTCGAAAGGTACAATTATTTTTGCAAATCAATATAAAAAACTGTATTCGTCAGTATATGTACTTTTCAATCTCAAAAACCCACTATTCTTCTCCTTACACATATTATTGATGATGATATATGGAATTAAAAACATATTTATTATTCGGCTGATTTACTATAAAATACTTTTTTCAAATCTTTGAAGAAAAACTTATAATACTTTTACAATATATAATTTATATTTTACCAGTACCCACAACAGATTCATAACTAGGCGGTAGATCTTCTGGCATTGAATATTGATTATTATAATCTGACTGATGAGGATATGATGGAGGAGCAGCTGGTGGTATATATACATCTCGTCTATTTAGCTGTTGTTCTTGCTCTGGTGATGGTTCTGTTCCCATTGTAATTGGTAAACAAATTGTAAAATCAGTGAATAATCCTCTTGCTTTAACATCGAATTTTAATTCGTAATTAACTGAAACAATTATTCCATTATAATGATACGTGGATGTAGGCGCTAAATATTTGTTCGGAATCATAATAGAAAAAGTTTCAGTTAGTCTCTCACTATTAAATTCTTGTATTCGTGGAATATCAATACGAAATATATTGTCCGTTCGATTATTAGTCGCAATATGAATATGTTGTAGAAGACTAACTTCGATACGTTTTATAGTTGCACGTTTTGGATTTTGAATTTCAATAGTTGAATTTAAAATTTGCCCAGGTACTAATGCTGACCGACTTAGAGCACCTTGTAAAACAACATCTTTACGATTATGATTATTAAATTGCATAGGTTGATAACTATTTGGAATTTGTTGAAGATTTACACGTGGAGAAAGTGTTAAAGAATAAATTTGTTTAGAATTTGGTTGATACCTATAAATGAATATAAAATAAAATATAAGTTTTATACTTTATACAATGGTATTGTCAAATACACACCATGGTTTATCGATCACAACTTGCATAAAATATTTAACATATGGATAAGAGTGTAATGGTACAGATACACTAGGTGGTAAATATGTCGGCAATTGAACTTCAAACGGCCATCTATGTTGACCACGATTGAGAATTATTTCTGTCTAAAAGAACCATAAAAGTAGTAATGGTAAAATATTCAATATAATCTTTTTTCAATTTACCTGACCGTTCGTGGGTCTCATTACAGGTAGTCGAAATTGAAAAAATGGTATACGATGATATTCTGTGTATGTCTCTGTTCTAGCATTACCACGATTTTGATAGTTATGATGTTGTTGACCAGGTTGCTGTGAATCCCATCCATCTCGATAAAAAACACGTTTTTCTTGCGTGGTATATCCTATTTCTCCCGTTGTTGTTAGATAAATTTCATCTATTTTTAATCGTTCAGTAACATTTTGAAAATGAATTGTACCTGACACAACTTCACCAGCAAAATAGAATAATGTTGGACGATCAAATGTGACATTAACCGAATTACTTTCACTATTTCCCATTATTAATTACATCTATATTCTATAATATAACAGTGAACTTTAGATATCAGAAAGATTTTTAATAAATATTATCTGATCTCTTATTTTGCTAAAGGATATTCGGCAATAAGGATCTAGTTTAAATATAACATTAAATTTGATAGTAGTGAAAGTTATTATGCGCATCAATTTCTTGAAAATTATATAATACAAAGATCTTTGTTACACCTTATTAGTTGATTTTTATATTAACCAAAATCTAATCTAATCTTTAGACTTTTTCGAGAAAAAACAGGAAAAGAATATGATGAGATCAAATTTTCTATTCTTTCTTTTTAAATAAAAATTTCTTATAACGCTTCTTACATGTGTGACGGAAGAACAAAAAATGTTTTCGATTCGATTTCACATAAGTGAACCAGTATATTCTAGTACAAGAATTTATTGTGGAACAAAGGCAATTTTTCTCAAGTATTACGAAGAGTTCGACATGCAAAAGAGCTACTGTACTTTTGGTTCTGTTTTTATACAAGCAAATTTTATTTGTATAAGATTAATATGTAAGATAAATTTGTTCTCTGTCGATTTTGACAACAGAATAGGAATTAATAATTATTATCAGTTTTTTTAATAATTTGAATCTGATTCTGACTTAATAATCATTCACCATTAGTATTGTTAAGCGTTCAAAAATGTTTTCAATGATGATACTAGTGTTCAATGTTTAGATTACAGCTTCTTAACAATACATGTTGTAAGTCTAGAAAAACGAGGAAAACCGTTGCAGAATTCTGTTACGGTAGCAGAGTTAGCTGGCTACGCCGGATAAATCATCATAATGATATTTATTTCGGATTGAAAAGATATTGGCTGATATATATTTTCAATTAATAAAATGTTTATGTCACTCATCATAGTTTATCTTTCTGATACTAATGAAATTATAATGCACTAACGAAAGGAAAATACACGATCAATGTGTGAGCTTTGTCTTCAATTCTACGTACTATATACCGAGCATAAAACGTCCAAAACATTTCGATATTACTCAGTAAAACTGTCGACAATTGTGTCTAACTATTACATTACACATTATATTTCCTTCAATAGTTTTTTATTTTTACGATATTTAAACGATGTTTAGTACATTTTTTGTTGACAAACTTTCAACACAAAGTTTTTGGAAGAACAATGGAATGCAAAATGGACCGAAGGTATAATCAACATATAAAGTTATCCATTTCCCTGGGACACCCGTGATAACCGAGAAAACGTTATATAAGACAGATGTTAGCTACTCTTCGAAACAATTAGAAAATCGCCCTAGAAAGCTCTCTAAGACCATATTTAATGGTTTTAAATATGAAACTACGAACAATTGTAAAAGTCAAATGCATATAACTGGGTCTATGACTAATTAATTAATCGTTAGAGTTTATGTAAGGAATTCTATACTGTACTCGTGTATACATTACTCAAAGTGTTACATAACCAATTAATTACCTCGATAAGAAATGGTATAGTTTTTGATAAATAAATTGTTCGATTTTCAGGATACACTCGATAATAAGTAAACGGGATATCTAGAACAATGAATATTTCATCTACAACTGTGAAATTATCAAATGAACTTTTCTTCAAATCTAAACAACCACAATCACAGATAGCTGTGAACGAATATCTAAGTGAATAGAGAAAGTGTATTTAACAGGTAGCCCATAAAGAATGGATCTTTACCTATTTGCTTATAACTTTCTTCATCTTTAGTTGCGCTTTTTTTAAAAAAAAAAATTTCCCGTTCAATTCTTTACAAGGCTACATTCAACACATTATCGATTTTTCATAGTTCAAAAATTTGAAGGTGTAAAATCGAACAAACGTTTTTTAATGGGGACAGTAGTCAGATTCGAAACTTCATAATATTTGTTTTCTAATCTTTTTTCTAGAAGATATCTAACAAAATGTTGAACATGGTTTTGTAATGAATAAAATGGGAAATTTTCTTAAAAAAAAAGCGCAATTAAAGACGAAGAAAGTATAAGCAAATAGGTAGAGATTGATTTTTTATAGGCCACTCGTTAGAAAGAAGACGGAAAAAAAGTTTTCTGATGAAATTGAACAATCCTGCTAAAAGAGACGGAAATCAAGAAAGGGAGAATGATGGTGTCAGAGAGTATAGTAGTGAGTGTGAATGAATGAGAGAACGAACACGGTGTGAAGGAGAGGTGAATTTTTTATCTATCTATTTTGAAAAAACCATTTCAAGAGACTAGTGTCTGTCTTCGGACTAATTAGAAAAGAGTTTCTAGTTATGTCCTATTACTAAATGGACAATATTCGCCTGAATCAAAATTCACTTATTGTTAATAAACGATTAACTAGAACATATTTCTAAATTACTACTTCATTCCTAACTGTTTTTATAACACGTGCAACAAAAAGACGTTTCTCTCATAATCAAGAAATTAATAATAAGCCAGCAGCACAACAATTATATAAATTTCTTCATGCTTACTTTAACAAGAAAAAACTTTAACTGCTATTTTTTGATCTCTCTTTTTTTCTGTCGTCATATGAGACATGATTTATATCACGCTATATGTATAGAGACAAAGCACCGTGTAATGTGTCATACAATAAATAAATTTCATATTACTTTGTTCTTTTTACTCACATTTTTTTAAAAAAAGAAACGAGATGGTTACACTAGTAATGTAAAACATTTTTTCTCAAACACATGGCATTCTTACGTCTAGAATGAAATGGACGATTCATCTCATGTGCCTGACCTTCTGTTATAAGAAGTTCTATTACCTGTCTAAAACGCTTTCCAAACAAATAAAAATAGCCATTCTTGATAACAAAAATTCTAAAAGCTAATGGGTTCAGCTCATAACTCAACAATCCAGATGGCGTCTCTAGACGGTCAAAGCTTTTGAGTTTGCTTTGTGATGATGATAATCACTAGAAAGCGATATATTTTTACAAAGATGTAATTGACTTTTGATTAAACGTTAAGCTCCATTTGCTTAAAATTTTAAATTATCCAAAGCATAGTTAAAAAAGCAAACTTTTTTCGTTTCTCATTATCCCCACCATATCACCGGATCGTAAAATTTTAAAAGTCTGTTCGATCAAAACCGATTGCAGATTCGTCTTCTCGATAGTCGATTAACTGGTACACTATAACTTTTTCTTCGGGGTACTTTAGAAGAAAACATTCACATGGTCTTCTTAGAGATTTTTCAGAAAGTTACCGTATGGCAAAGGCAAAACGATGTCAAAGTTTTTTCTAAAGTACCCCGACCGAAAAGTTATAGTGTATCAGACAATCAACTATGGAGTAGGCGAATCTGTAATCGGTTTTGATCAAACAGACTTTTAAAATTTTTTGATCCAGTGATATCGATCCAGAATATTTCAGATTCTGTCCATTTTAAACTGATATTGTGTTGCAGTTGTTCTTAACAACATCTTTTACTCGCAGATAAGACATTCTTCGGCCAAGACAAGACCTGTCTACCCATGTAACCAAAATCAAAACTTCTTCTTGCGTTAATCAAGTGAATAACGCAAAAAAATGCAAAAACACAAGTGGTATAACGCAAAAAATGATTACAAAAGCGAAATTTTGCAGAATTTCGCTTTTATAATCATTTTTTGCGTTACGCCACTTATGTTTTTGCATTTTTTTTTTGCGTGAAAACTTTTGCAATTTCTACATGGGTATTTTGATCATATCTTGCATAATAGCTTTAAGTATTGGCTGAAGAAGGATTGTATTTCTACAAACATGAGCGTGGAAAAGAGCTCACCCAGTTACATAGGAAAATATCGACTTTAGTTTTTCTAAAAGAATTTTTTGTGAAAAAAATTAAAAATTAAATTTTATGAATGATGTCAAAAATTCTAAACATTTAACAAAACGAAAAACTAAAACTAAAACTAAAATGAGTTAAATTATGCAAAATATTGGAACAGATAACATTCACAATCGACTGACTCCGTCTCTTGACTATACCAGCTCGCTCATACAAATGCATAGTCTTACTTTTAATTAAAATCTTTTCAAATAGTATATAACCATCAAAGTAGACCAGCGGCTTCGATTGAAAGTCAAAACATCTATAAAGAAAGCGAAACAATATCGCATACGCTACTAACTATATGAAAAAAACTTCGGCGTAAAATATGGAATAATTGCAAGCCCTAGTAAATGCACTTGACGATAGGTACCCAAGTACTTGCATTTTTCTTAGGTACCTATGTGGGTACCTTGTGTGAGGAACCTATATTTCCCCTGATTATAAGTCCTTGAGTTGATTGTATGCGTGCATTAAGATCTGTAGTATTACTCTTTTATTCGACTACTCTTTATCACAAACCACAAAAAACTAACTTCACACAAGAAAAATACTAATATATATGGCGATGATCAGTCTGGCCGGAAGACCTTTTGGGGCATCCGGGAGAATTGCTATAAATCAGTTATCACGATTCTCTCAGAGCTGTAAAACATCTAATTTTGTAGAAAAATGTTTGCTCTA